TTGTTGTATTTTTATGTATCACGATTTTTTAATTTATTTTCACTACTATTTTCCGTGCAGAATTCGATTAGCCTATACATTCCACGGTACTGTACATGAGTCTACCGTCTACACAACGTAAAAGATTTTTATTGAAGTAAAATATCGAACAAACGTTTCCTAAACTTTCTTTTTACGTGCCTAGACACAGGGCCAGATCATCGCATAGACAAATGAGACAAATGTCTAGGGCCCGGTTTTTAGAAGGGCCCGGTCAAACTGTTTATTTTGAAAAGATTTGTAAATAAGATAGTTTACTTTTCTGTTGGATAACAGTATATAATAAACAAATAAACAAAAATATATTTCTTTTTATATGGTTATTGTGAATTCTAAAATCTAAAGAAAATGTACGTGGGTTGTTCAAAAAGTTCCCGAACTTTTTGAATAGCGCGCCTCCAGTTATTTTTTAATCCGCTTGGGGGAGTTGTGTCCGCGGAAACCCCCCGAGTAACCTCCTTCAACCCATTTGTTGATATCTTGTTTTGGTGATTAGCTACGGCCGTTTATATGAAGTGGTGTTTGTGGGGTTCGGCGAAAATCTCAGAATTTCACAGAACAACGCTGTTTGAAAGAACAGCGTTGTTCTGTGAAATTCTGTGTGAAACTCGGAAAATCCTTCACTGAAACTTTCCACGGGTGGGTGAAACAGCCCCCGCCCCAAAACAGCTCGACAAGTTCGCTCAAATGTTAAGATGATGTTGACTGTTTTTTCAATGCAAAGGAAGTTGTACACCACGAATACCTACTTACAGGCCAGACAGTCAACACGGAGTACTACCTGGTGTTATGAAATGCCTAAGAGACAAAATCAGGCGAAAACGGCCCGAACTTTGGAGGAGCGGCGAGTGGTTTTTTTCACCACGACAACGCACCGGCTCATTTGTCCCTCAGAACACGAGCTTTTGGAAAAAACAAGACTGCTGTGCTTCCCCACCCACCCTACTCACCTGACCTGGCCCCATGCGACTTTTTCCTGTTCTCCAACAAACTAAAAAATACGCTCAAAGAAAAAAGATTTGCCACCATTCCAGAGATAGAAAAAAAAACACGAGAAGAGATAGAAAAAAAAACGGAGAAGCTTATGAGCATTCCGGAAGAAGCGTTCCAAGATGTTTCAAAAAGTGGAAACACCGTTGAAATAAGTGTATATGTTGCGGAGGAGACTACTTTGAAGGGGACCCTAACAAATAAATTGTACGTGAAGTATTTTTTTTNGTGCCGGGCTGTGAACGGCTCACGTATTTGTAAAATCTAAGTGACTCGTACAACATGGAATTCGTATAAAACGGAATTATCAACAGTGTTATAGGGTGGTCGACTGTATAAATTAAATTTCTGTAAAGGTTTAGTGTGAATATACACGTTGGTCCATTTTTAATCAGTCCACTGAAATAACTTAAAAAATACACAACTTAAAAAATTATTGAACCAAAAATGCCTGACTTTGGGTAAGCCACAAGATGGAGCTATCGGTTTCATCACAAATGGTGAAAACAGGATCAACTTTATTTTCTTAAATGGAAACCCATTTTTTTATTGCATATTATGATTCTACATCAAAAACAAACAAACTTTTATCTAAAATATTTTTTCAAACAATGCATTTGTCAGAAGTTATGAGTGTGTGAAGCTTTACACAGTTGCACACAGTACAAACATGCATTTATGGACCTGTGAAGTTTATTGGAAAAAATGAAGAAAAATGCTTAAAAATCATTAAATTAAATTAATAAACTATTATTTGGAGGAATCATTCTTTCTTTTCAAATAATGAACTAATGCAAAAATTAATGCTATAGCTTTTTAACACCATAAAGTTTGTGATAAAGAAATGTTGATCTTGATTGACTAAAATAGACCACTCTATTTACCTTATATGTTTGTCTACAATGTATTTAATCTAAGAACCAATTTGACATGAGCTTGGCAGGAATTGATGATATTACATACTTGCAAACCTTTAGAATGGGGTACATTGGTAGAAAAATGCTGTTATTGAATAAAAATTCTGACAGCATGACAAGTGAAAAAAATTCTTTATTAACATTGATATTGCACAATGCTTGTATTAAGAGTTTGGCAATATAGTTTTATACTCTTTAACGTTACAATTTAAAAGTCAAATATTTTATGGGAATGCATCATAAATCTACACCTAGATTTATGATGTGTTCCATCTTGATATGTTATGAATCTTGCAATCGCATGAGTGCCTCCTGCTATATTATATACCTTTATGTGATGTTTTGCTTTGTTAATAATTTCTTTTGTTACAGTACAATGTATTCATGACAGTTGCTCTCAATCAGTTTGTTGACTTTCACTGCAATTATTTAGGGCAATAATTTTTCTGGTTATTTATTTCCTATCTGTTTTTTTTCTTACCATATTGAATATCTTTTCCTTTTGTCATCTATGGGATTTGTGAGATTTTACAAAGATTACAAATCTTTGTAATCTTTGTAAAATCCCACAAATCTCAAACGACCATCTAGTTTCTCTTCTTGAGAAAGTTCATACCATACAGCCTATATATTCTTAAGTGATGAATCAGATGTTTCTTCTTTTTGGGTGGAGAAACTGTAATGCTTCTCAATAATTTGTTACAGATTATAACTGTAAAAGTAACTTGTTTTCTTCCACTGATGAGGTGGCCATAATTGATTTAACCACCAACAAGGCATGATCAGATCACATTTGAACTAAAATTCTCATACATATACCAACATACTGTACATATAAAAAATATCAATCCTAGTTCTTTCCCAATTGAAGGAGTCTGAGAATGTCGTTCTGGTTTGCTTCAGTTGTTTGTAATAAAATACAATGTGTTCAGCATATATATTGGTGTTAGACTCGTTAAATGAAGTGTTTGTGTGATGATATCAAATTCTTTAAAAAGGGAAAAGCAGCCTGTTCATTGACGGAGCATACAAAACACTGATAGTCCATGCCGAACGCTGATGGTTTACAACTATGTAATTATTCTAGACAGCAATTTTAGTGTTAAAGAATAAAGATATTTTTTTTTTTTGAGGAAATCTCATTTAGTTCCAATTTAAAATTTTGTGAGCTTCATTAATAAGATATAAATATCAGATTCATTTATGTGAATCAGAATATTCAATTTTATCCAAACTGATTAGTATAATAGATTTATGACTGCTAAAAAGCATCTTATTTGTATCATTATAATTAATTAATTTATTAAATGTTTTTAATTTTTACGGTATATCTTGTGCAAATAAGTTTTATATTTTCATTTATACAATGGATTATTATACCATTTATTTTTTCTATAATTATACATACATAAGAATATGGTTTAAATAAAAATTTATGCTTATATGTGGACAACTCTGAAAGTTTCTAGATATGTGTGGGTCTCTATGCTGAGTTGAGATATCCAATTTGATTACACCAGTCAATTTCTTTTGTTGTTGAGAATTAATAAACTTGATTCATGGAAATGGAGGTTTCACATTTTCCTAGGAAAAGAGCCTAACTTACTTTCATATTAAAATATAGATTAATTTACTTATAATAATTTACATCTCAAGTTTATAGATAAGCACAATTTTTGTGATCATGATTGTATTATGAGTTGAGAGAAAGAGTAAGATTCAGGAGCCAGAGAATCAAGATACCTCTGAGCATAACTACCAAAGTTCTTTGCAGTCCACAGATGATGTTTCAGACACAAATTGAGAAGAGTTAGATTAACAGTAGGATCTGAAAATTCAAATAACTTTTATCCACTTTCCTCTAGTATTTAAATCCTACTGAGATGTGATTATTTTCTAATAGGTAGTGTTTCAAAATGGTGAGAGGACTTCTGTTTTTCCTGAATGGCAATTATAGACCTCCAGTGTTTTGTTTTCTTTTTTGAAAATTCTCTCCACTTCTTTCTGTCCAGAGAAGTTTTTGTTATTCAACTTCCATCTCTCTTTCAAATCTCTCCTTACATATATCTCAAATCACAATTATTATTTAATTATTAATACACAGTTTCATAATAGAATTAATTTTTATACATTAATATATACTTTGATCCTAATAAATGTCTTGCAACCATATGTAACTTTTTCAATACTGTAGTGTGGCTGCATCACAGGTGCTAACTATTCATAAGCATATGCAAATTATATCGTGTCTTAAAGTACTCCCTACTATATTTTACATAGCATTTTTCACCTTCCCGAACCAACTATACAAGTAATCACCCCACTAAATTTGTGAGATTCTTTCAACATGCTTTCTGTACAGAATATAAAAGCTATCTCTTCTGCATTCTGGAAATGCTGTCCCTAAAGCAGTTTTTTGACTTTTCAGAATAGAAATTAGTCACCAGATACCACATGACTTGTGGGTAGATAGTTCACTAGTTAAATATTTAATTAATTTAGCCAGTAAAGCCATTTCCTTGTCATTGTTGTGATAAAGCAGGAAGCCTTAAGTCTGGTCTCTACCTGTTTCTACTGGATTACCTGAAAGACTTAAATAAATAAATGGTAACATAACTTTAACAGTGACAGTCTTTCAATCCTCTATGAACATAGTTGCAATATGACCTAGTCTGTCAATTTCCATTTTGTTTTCACCTCATGTGGAATGAAGCAGAGTTTGAGAAATGATTCTTGCTGCAAACATTAGAAAAATTGACCTGAGTTAAACCCCATTTAAAACTGTAAAACATTGCTTGAAAATGCTTCCAAGTCATCTCCATTGCAAATATTCAACAGAATGTCAAATATATTTCACTCCATTTCAGAATGGCAGGAGATTGCAAGAGCATGACATTTATTGGCATACCTACTAAACAAAAATTATTAAATTCAGCAAACTGCAACACTACATGTTTGTACTTTTCTGATATCCAGAAACTTTCAGTAAGGCCCATGTATAAAATAAGTATTTTATAATAATAATTTTAATTATTATACTATTATTTATTACAGTTACAATTATGGGATACAGCAGGAATGGAACAATTTCGTCAAGCTATGCCACAACATTATTATAGAAATGCAAAAGCAGTATTATTTGTTTATGACATGACAGACAAAAATTCTTTTGATAATATTAATAAGTGGATTGAAGAATGCAGGAATTATCAAGAAAATGATAGAGTTCATTGGATTTTAATTGGGAATAAATCCGATTGTGTTGACAATATTGTAATTTCTACAGAAATGGCAAAAAATTATGCAAATAAACAAAAGATGGATTTATATGAAACTTCTGCAAAAAATGAAATTGAATCAAATACTATAAATACGCTTATGCTTGACTTAGCAAAAAAATTGGATACTTCTGAACACATTGTCGTCAAAAATGTGCCACGTCCAATTATAATTAAACGAAGAACTCAGGCTCATACATCTCTAATCAGAGATCAAATTATATCTGATTCTTTTTGTAGTAATTGTTAATGCAATGAACTGTGATATTCGAAAGTTACATTAACACATAATTCATTTAAACTAACACAGTATTACATTTACAATTAGGGAAACAGCAGGGATGGAAAAATTTTGTCAATCTATGCCAGCCACAATATTATTGTAGAAATGAAAAGCAGTATTATTTTTTTATGACATGACAGAGAAATTCATTTGTAGAAAGTACTTCTGATGATGGTGAAAAATTACTGTATTTTGGTAAAATCATTTTCTATGAATGCGTCTTTCCAATGTGCCTTTAGCTCAATTTTACAGTTATATTCAATTTTTGAATTAATATATAATAAATAAATGTGTAAATAAAGTAAATAAATCATGCCTGTTTATTATCACATGCATAATAGTAATATATAAGTTTTTGTTAAAATTATTTTATCAAATCTCTGTCAAATCATTATTTGATTATTACTGAATGATTGAGTGATACTCAGTAATTCAAAATCATAAGTAATTGAACTTCAAATCCACTTTTGAGTTCATTTTTGGCATATCAATTTCAGAAAAGAAACATTCTCATTAAATCTATTCCATGAAATGAAATTGTTTTGATATTCATTCACTTTAACTCTCCTTGTGAAGTGAATTGTTATTATTGTGAACACTTCTACATTTTCATATATTGGAATTAAAACAACTATTGTTCCATTACATAATCATTTATAATTAGTGAAATATATTTAAAATGTACTTTAACTTTCAAATAAATTTTTTGATTTTGCCAAGTTAGAAAGAAAATTACATTAATGAAACAATAAATATGTAAGGTTGTATATTGTTATTTTATCTAGAGTTTTTTTGTGTATTTTTCTGAGGTGGTTTTTAAGAGTTTAATGACTTTGAAATATATTTTCACTAACAGTTGTCACAATAGTCAGAACTGTGGTGCTTTTCTCTTTATGTGCTGTATTGATGCTTCCTCAACTTGGTGGAAGATTTTGGAATGTACCTCATGTATTTGCTGAGTGGTTCTCTAGTCCTAGAGTAAAGGTATTTCACACAATCTTGGGGCTGTGGTAAGATCAAGTGGGGCTTTGTCACTGCAATAAACCAAAAATTACATTGTTGCGCTTTTCCATTAGTTGCTTGTTTTCCAATCTAATATCCTTTCTGAAGGTGTTAATTTAAGGGGTTAAAAAGACCTCCCGGAAGGCATCCCCCTATAGGCAGATCGCCCAACCAAAGAAGATTCTACTGTCGTACTTTAATATAATTTAAACGAAATTTAAGAATCGGAAATATCGTGGAGTATGAGATTACTCGATGTATTGGATTAGCGAGTAACGATACGAATAAATGTTCGTATCGTTTACATTTTCGCAAGCAGAAAAGAGCCTCAAAGGAAAGGTCGACTCTGCTTAATAACCTAAGTTAATATTGTGTTCCTGTGATTGGGAAGGATGTCGTAAAACATCACGTTAGTCTATATTCAGTCATATATACAGTAGAGCGTCGATTTTCCGGAAGTCAATCATTCGAAAGAATTCCAGTCGGCAAATTTAAATTTTCGCCAGTGCTGTGGCGCTTCAATCTTTGGCTATGTCTTGGGCTACTCAAATATTTTACGTTTTTGATACTAAATTAACATCTGAAGTATAATTTTTTATTGTTTTTATATTTTTCAATATATTTATTTNTCACCACGACAACGCACCGGCTCATTTGTCCCTCAGAACACGAGCTTTTGGCAAAAACAAGACCGCTGTGCTTCCCCACCCACCCTACTCACCTGACCTGGCCCCATGCGACTTTTTCCTGTTCTCCAACAAACTAAAAAATACGCTCAAAGAAAAAAGATTTGCCACCATTCCAGAGATAGAAAAAAAAACACGAGAAGAGATAGAAAAAAAAAACGGAGAAGCTTATGAGCATTCCGGAAGAAGCGTTCCAAGATGTTTCAAAAAGTGGAAACACCGTTGAAATAAGTGTATATGTTGCGGAGGAGACTACTTTGAAGGGGACCCTAACAAATAAATTGTACGTGAAGTATTTTTTTTTTGTAATAAATAAAGTTCGGGAACTTTTTGAACAACCCTCGTATTCTTATGTTTCTTTTTATTGAAAGTAAAAGAAAACTCCCAATAATTTAGAATTATTTTTATAGCGATAAGAATAATATTAACTATATGTATTCTTGAATCCTGTGAAATATTGTTAAATAATTTTACTTTTATTTTTTATTAAGCAGCTGCAGTGTCCGTATGCGATTTAATAGAAATAATAGTAACAAAATTTATTAATTGAAATTTTCTTCTTCAAAATGTCTAGGGCCCCAAAGTGGGTTAATCCGGTCCTGCTAATGGGACGTATAGCATAAAAACAAATAAGTACAGTGTCGGTTTAAAGTAAGGTCATATGACCTCCGAAATCTGTTCGTTAACACTTTTTGTCTCGTTAATATTTTATTATAATTAAAAAGAAGGTTTGTTATACAACAGTCAGTAGAGTGAAGATAAAAAAAATATGAACGTCTACAGGAGGTCGGATGGCCCTGCATTGACTGGAAGCCATCCCACGAAGGGACTATTTATTTTATAATCCGCTGTAATTAATTACACGTGCTCATTTAATTACATGTTTTTACAGCACGTGTCGTTCACTGCGACTCCTGAAAACGACTCCTGCCAGTTAAAGTACATGTGTGACGCAGTAAACAAGTAAACAATAGATCAACATCGAATTAAATACAGGTAACCCCCGTATAACATGGGAGTTACGTTCCAAAAAATTGCAGTGTTATGCAAATCCGTGTTATACGAAACAAAGAACTAGTGCGAAAAAGGGGGTTAGCTTCCAAAAAATAAAAAACATGTTCTTAAATCCTTATTTAAATCGGATTTATTATTCATTTTTTTCACAGGTAAAATACTTATTTATTATTTAAGTAAATATTTTATCAGAGGATTATTCATTTTATATAATGATCTCAACATGAGCATTATCAACTGGTAACAGTTTGTGGGTGCGTTCGTTAATAGCGGTCGCTCCGCAACGGGAGTGCGCTGCTGTTTGTAGGCATTTAGGAACGACGGTGAAAGAAAGATGACGGCGCCCGCACTATCGATAGTATCGTGTGGAGCAATCTATAATTCTAAAATGAGCTTTTAGAGGCAAAAGAAGGATCCCAATTTTATAATTTAACCATTAAATGGAGTATTTGTTGAAAGAGCATTTAAAGTAGCCACGAAAACAATTAGAATGCTCGCGCGGAGTTACGCGGAGGTATAAAACGATGTTGAACGCACCCTTTATTACATTTTATGTTGTACGAGGGTTTTACCCAATTCCCGAACCGTGTTGGAGTGAACCCGTGCTGTAAAAGCACCGTGTTATACGGGGGATGTTCCCAATTATCGAATCGTGTTAGAGTGAATCCGTGCTATAGAAGTGCCGTGTTATACGGGGGTTACCTGTACTTGTTATATTTTCTTTTGCAAAATTACTTACTTTAATAAAATAAAAGAATTAAACTAGTCTTTGATATGATTTCCCCCTTTTTAACTATTTACTATTAAAAAAAAAAACACTATAAAATGTAAAATAGTTTTT